GGAGCGCAGCCAGCTCATGGTTGCTTGGTCTGCTCTGTGCTCCTACCTGCCGAGGAGCTTCTTGGCGCCTCCTTGTTGCGGAAGTGAGGGAGGCGCTGAAAAAGATGGCTAAAGTGGTGTGGTGCACATTAAAATGATGAAACTTTTTTATTGTGCTAAAGAGAAGGATACTTTTAAGACCTAGTAGAAACTTTCTGTCGCTTGCCGTTGGATGGCATCCAGACGAAAAAAAAAACCATTAAATTTTTAATGGGTTTTTATCGTCTGAATGCCATCCCGGCCAATCAGATCTCTCGAAATTTTTTTTCCATTCCCATTTAAGTTGTGTTGGCTGACGGCCATGATTTTCTCTTTCAAAAAATTTCTGAAAGGCAATACCCGAATACACCAAAAAGACTGGAACCTGGACAATGACTGGAAAAAATACCTGGGCGCTAGCGCAGTCCTTTCAAGCTTGTGAGCCGTTATTCCGAATTACTCGAATAAAGAGGTCGTAATGATAAAAGAATTCCTTTCTGCTATTGGAAAACAAGAAGCTGGTGGTTTTGCTGCTGGGATCACCAAGTTTTTGTCCACAGTAGTGCAAATACCGATCACTACCCTACCCGCGGTATTGTCAGTACTTCGGTATTTCAAAAATCAATTTTTTGGAATAGCCGAGCATCCAGCGCCGCTCATTCTTCTGGCGCTCCCGCAAAGCAGGCTTCGGGTAGCAGTTAGCGTTGCCCCGCTGTCTCGCTGGGCTACACTACGCACTCACGCCTCCCCAGTCCCCGCCCCGGTCTATCGTGCTGCTGGTTCCACACTAAAGTACCCCAACCATACACGTGGCTTTCAGCTGCCATGTCGTCCACGTCTTCGCCTGTGCCCGAAACGACCGACAAGGCAGTTTCTGGGGCTAAAACGTCACTTGAGATTGCATTACCTACCTTCGAGGGAGAGTTTGCATCGTGGGAAGAGTTTGGAGAGGCGTTTGACCGGTAAGATATTAGCTTATAATATTTTAACCATACTTTCTATGAGAGATTCAGCAGGTTTCCCGCACCGTGAGGAGCTGGATGGCTTGAAGCGTGGAAGATGGCGCGAGGCGCTGGATTGCTGGGATCTCAGAACCGAATGTGGT